TACATACATTTAATATATATATATATATATATATATGTATATATATATATATATAATATGTAATAATGGTGCCGTTCTTGGAGCCAAAAACTAGAGTAAAGAGAAAAATGTTCTGAAGAAAGTTTTCTTTTCAGCAGTAATTTTTTTTTACTATCTTTAGTTCACTGTGTCTTTAGGTACACAATTTTACTGTGGAAAGTATAACTGAAATATATCTAAAGTGGCTATTTGAAATCACACATGCTCATATTTAGACATCCATCCCTGTAGCCTTGTATTTCATAGTTCAGCAGGAGCTCTGTGTGGGGCCTTTGAATTATGAAAACTGTTTCCTCCTAGGAAGAACTTCTAAGATCTCAGGATCAAAGTTCTCAACAGTGTAAAAATATCAGAGCATGAATATATGCTCGGAAAAGCCTTTGAGAACTTTTATCTCCTGATTTCTTTGATTCACAATAGTTTAACTCACGCTATGAGGAACTTCTGTTTACATGCGAGGGTAAAAAGCCATAGCCTTCAATTTCATGCTGTTTCTTTGATCTTTACTTTGTTTTATCAAGATTATTAGTGTCTTCATAGTCCACACCTTTCCTCATTCTTTACCATCAGGGGTGTAGATGAAAGTCCACATAGATTTATGCCAAAGTATCCCTTAGTCAATGCCTCATTTACCACATTCAAGTGTAGTCTGGTGCCATTCAATGGTTCCACAATAATACATGTCTGAAATCTTGCCTCATCCACAGTGGTATAAATACCGGGACCAAAAATAATCACTGGAAATAGGGATGTTGGTGCTTTAGGATATGAATCAGTCCATTTCCTGAAGCAGTCACTGGAACCAAGGGGTGGGGGTTAATTTATATTTCTTTCTCTACCTCTACAGTAAGATGGCTGTAATTGTTTTAAACGAGGATGTGAACAATTGTATCTGTGTATCATTGCGTGTGTACACATAAGAATGCAACTGTTTGCTTAATCTGTTCATGTTTAACCTGTCTGGCTCCTTATCCAAGAAAATGAATAATCTCCTGTTCAGGTTCCAGCCAGGGTGGGCTGTGTGAACCTCTTTTCTGGCACAGACTTATCTCTCAAACTTCCTTCCCCTTTTTCCTCTTTCCATCCTTCCTTCCTTCCCTCCTCTCCACACCCTAAGCTTCGAGGTTAATAGATTTGCTGGACATTTGACATGATCTGTCAGAGAAATCTAAACAAGTCTTATCTAAACGCTATGTCTTGGAAATTCATTTAACTGGTTTGTTTTCCTTCCAGTTACTAATGTCTTGGTTTATTCTTAAAGGTCACAAAATTGATTAGAGTGAATAGTCTGCCTCTGTGTATTGCTCAAACCTGTGTCACTTCCTTATTACCAGGAATCTCTTGAGGCCTTAAGAGAAAATCTGATTCCGCTCTGAGCCAGATTTAACAGATCAGAATTGAGTCCCACATTTGCAATTCATCAAAATAGAAAATAATACATTGATGGAATAAACTGTGTCCCAGAACCATGTGACCTGCAGTTGTGACTTTTGACATATTAGAGCCAGTGTGTCCATTCAGAAAACACATTCCAGAGTTGTCTCCAGGGGTGAAATGGCCAATATTGTGCTTTCAGCCTGGACCTGCCAACACTGCTGAGATATCACTGAATGGAACTGGATATTGTTATTCCACACTCTGCTTGCAATGGCTGAGCATTTTGGCACGTCTGAAAATGAAAACATTCCTGAGAAAGAGGGTGATGGGTAAAAATAGCTCATTCACTGACTCGGTGGGGGAGGTCTAAAGCAGGAATGGGGAATGGATTACTGAAGGGTAGAGGCCAATACAAGTGTCTGTTCTCAGGAAATGAGGCCCTTTTATTTGGATATGAATGTGGTAAAGAAAAGCCACTGTTTGTATTTTTTGCAGGCTCAATTTTAAGATTTTAAATTCTTTACTCTTATAAAAAGGAGTAAGGTTACAACTAACAATTATTATTATATCTGATTTTTATTATATTTTATCAAATATGACCAGTTGTTTAAATAGTGAAAAAAAGTATTTTTCCTGAGCCCACGATAATGTTTTCATATTGTTTATTTTGTCCAACAAACAATCCAAAACCCAAAAATATTGTTTACTCTCAGATAAGACGAAGAAGACTATAAGACAAAGTAAAGAGCAAACTTTTAATCCCTTAACCTTTTATCTAGTTCCACATCAAGTCGAAATTTTAATTTGTCCAATACTTTGTTTTATGGCCATATATTGGCAGAACTAATGACACATTTGTGTATAGTGCTAATTAGCAAATGTTAATTTGCTAACACACTAATCTAAGACATAAACATGGTAAAACATTACCTGCTTAGCATCAACATGCTAGCACTACCATTGTTAATTTGGACATGTGAGTGAATGTTAACATGCTCAACTGAGATGGTTGAACATGATTACCATTCCTAAACATCAGCATGTTAGCTTTGTCACTGTGTGCATATTGACATACTGACATTAAATTTTATTTTAAAGCACCACTGTACCCACAAGAATCTTAAAATTGTTGCTTGTAAAAGGTCTGAAATGACCTTTTTTCCATAGCTTTAAACCTTATCACATTTACTTCATTAGGTCGTCTGGTCCGTGTTGGTTTAAAGGTGACCTTTCAGACCTGCTGTTAATTACTGTAAACTACTAAACTACAACTTCTAAGGTCAAGAATAAAGTTTGATTCCAACCAAGGGTAAAGACTGTGTAATACAGTTTAAGTATTCTAGAAAAAGCTAGTAAGAACCTTGAGGTGGTATTGTTTTGTTAAACTGTTATTTAGGTCCATATTTTAGCAATAAGACTTTTTAAGCTCTAGAGAAACCAAATCAAAGAGACTTATTTTTTCCTCTGTTTAACTCGGATTATACACAAGGCATATTGTAAATTATAATCGTTTCACTGTTATTCTATAAATATTCGTCTGAGTATCCTGTTTTTGGTTGGGACGATTGATGTCATTTTGTTACTCAGCAGCTTTGTTTGTGGTGTTGTCTAATATTGGAAAATACAGTAGTATTGGGCGCGTCTCACCAAGCTCTTAAGATCAAAGCCCTCATCCCTGCTGCAATGCATATCGCAGATGCCAATGATAAAGAGACTTTATTTTCTGCTGCTCTTGAACATTGTGTAAACACAGACTTATAAGGTAGGCCAGCTTATCTAGACAGGGGCAATTCCCGCCCTGCTGTCATATGTACCACAGGACATTTCTCTACCAAAACACACTGTAAACACACAACCACAACACACACTGACATACACAAATATTAATGCGCATAATCCCTTCTGCCAGTGCAGACACAAACACACAGTCCCTGTAGAAACTGTCTTTTTCCCGTCCACTCCCCCCTCCCTTCTTTTTCCTTCTTCAGCTTGGGGGTTTGCATAACAGGTAGTCACAGACATTTCCTCGTCCTGAGCAGGGATATCCTGGCGCCTGACAGTCGCTCCCTGGCTCACTGTAGCTCTGGCCCATGGATTCTGGACTGGGACTAAATTTAGACCCAGAACAGACCCCCTTCATTCCGCTCTGCCACAATGATACCAAGTGGCTGAGTGACCACCGCACACAGCACAACACACTTCCTCAGCAGGGGCACTGGGACAGGCCATGCCAGCCAACTCTTTAAAGTGGCACAGTGGGATGGTGTGTGTGGAAGAGAGGTTTTGTTACCATGACTGCATTAAGCCATGTCCCGCAAGGATGGCCCTCTTTCAGTTTTCTGCTTTCCTAGTTTTCCCCATTTTAATCCCTCTCACTTTGGCTGCTCTCTTGGTTTATTTGGTTTTTATACTCTTTTCTTTTTTCTTCAAAAGTACTGATTCCAAGAAATTAGAGTTTTTTTTTTTTCAAAATAAAAAAGTAGCAATAAAATAATAATAATAATGTTAAAGTATGCAAAGTCAGTTATTACTACCAATACCATCTGCTTATTATATCTGCTTATATTTTTATTTGTCCACATTTTGCCATTGATTGATTTATTTATTTATTTAAATCTTATCTAGCTGGGCTGAAGATTGCTGCCATATAGTAGATAGTTTTGCATTTTTCTTGTAAGTTTTCACAGTGTGTTCATGCTGTCAGAGGCTGATTTTTGGTATTTTAGGGTCGGGTAGTCTAGCTCCCTCTCTAATTTTATCCCTGTCTTTTAGGCATTCTACCAGAGAGCATGTGAACTTCGCTTGCATAAAATTTTAGCTGCAAGGATACTTAACATCTTCATCAGAGAGGCTCTCCTCTGAGGCTTGTCTTCCTGCTGATGCAAATCAATTTAAACAAACGAGCTGTAGGAACACTGGTACTCACTGGCTAGCTGGAAGAGTGCAGCAATGGCTTCCTCCCACCACTGTGATTCCTGTGTGATGAAAGGCAGCTCCATCAGGCCTAGAAGGAAGATCAGCTGACCAACAGTCAGGGCCACTGTCGCCATCAGGTTACATGCTCGCATCATGTCAAACTGCACTTGAGGGAGCAGAAGAAGAGTTGTGTCATATTTCCTGCAATATGATCTAAATTCATTTACAACAAGCTGGATTAAGGCTAAATCAGAAGTCATAATCTTTAAAAGGAGATTCTGATAATAAGTCTCTAGTATAAATTATTAAGACGGTGACATAGACATGAATACTATTTTATCGTGAATGGTGAGGCACATCTGACACTGCCAGGCACTGCTGGCCATTGTGCCCAGGCAGGTTGGTGAGTGGACGTTCTTGAATGGGAATTTCTCAATGGAGCTTAATTAAATAAAGCACATAAATCCATCACAACTTGCACTCTGCCTTAAAGTTCATCCAGATTAAGCAAACCCTGTTGGCAACATTATTTCCAACAAATTCTTGGCCGGCTGCCCCGGACTAATGTTTACACTAATGCATTAGAAGGTAATAAAACTAACACACTTAGATTTGATTTGTGGTTGTACATATCAAGTTGATCTGGTGATGTGGTGATTTTCAGTGCCCCTGAAAATTTATTTCTTTATTATCTTTATTTCCATATGGAAAACAAAAAAAATGACACAGAGCAGAGAAATACCCCTAGTACTGTATTTGTCTCTGTTGAGAACAACTACATCTCAGACGCTGTAACGTTTTTGGAAAGTAGACATAAATAACACTGTTATTGTTCAACTTAAAATCTAAATTAAAGTAAAAACTTACATTTGACAGTGCTGCGGGACTCTTGATAGCCTGCATACTCAGACCCCCATCCAAGACCTTCACACTGCCTCTGTGTCCCTTGCCCCCTTCTCCCAGCCTGGAGGTCATCACGGCCCCTTTCCCCACCAGTGGGGCACATCCTCCATAGTCCCACACTCCGCTTGCGTCCGTCCTCCAGGGCTTGCAGGACCCAGCTGGGGGTGAAGGCTGCAACATTGTTTAAGACGAGGGACAGCAGGGCTACTGCAACCGCTGCTGCCACCAGCCTCTGCACGGCCATGCGACGCCCGCCACCCGCCACCTCGCCCCCTCCCTCGGGTCCGTCCTCCGGACCCTGTTCTTCCTCAGTGTCCTGCCCGCTCCCGTGTCTCTCCTCTGGGGCAGCAGCACCACCAGTGCTCTGGGCTCCCTGGCTCCTCTCCTCCGCCACCACCACCACCACCTCCTCCTCCTCCTCCAGCTGTTAGCTTGTGCTGTCCCAGCTCACACAGAGGTGGACTTGCCAAGAGTGTTTTCTTGAGGCTTAGCTAAAGAACATCTCCATTCATCCTCATTCAGGAGTTTGTTGTCGTTGCAGCAGATCCTCAGCCCTCCTCCTCAGACAGCACTGCGGGTACGCGGGGATTAATCCAACTGGCACCTAGGTCCATTCCACTGACTCCGGCTGGCTGCAGCTTGACTCTTGGATATCGCTCCTTAGCTCTCTCCCTGTTTTTCTCTTTGTACTTTCTCCCGATCTTCAGTGCTTTGCTTATTGCACTGGTCGGACTTCTGCGTGTGCAGCTGGCTTCTCTATGTAGACAGTTGATTTTTTTTCTTCTTTTCTCTTCAGTCACTTCACATTGCCTTCACATTGATGCAAAGAGAGCATAGATTCTCGGGTTGCTAGGAGCTGACTTGTTAATGGCTCTGCCTAAGTTTACCAAGACTGTCTCTCAACTAGAAGAGTCCCCACTGCCTGACTGGAACAAGAAGTCCTCTAGCCTAACTCCCTGCTTCTGTCTGTCTTTCTCCCTCTCTCTCTCTCGCTCACTGTTTCTCTGCAAATCCTGGAGGTCAGAGTTGAAATGTGGGGGAGTTGCTGTTCGTTATAGTCCGAGACATCAGTTCCCAAATGTAACAAGCCGCAAACAGACAGCCCCCTCCTTCACGATCAATTTAAATGTGTTTGTGTCAGTGTGTTTGTGTGAGAGAATGTCCAAAAGACGCCTGTTAGACGTCACTGTTGTGTACTCTTTTGTCTGGAGCCCAGGGGGCGTTCGCTAAAGTTCTCTCTCTCGTGTGCAACAAACATACTGGCCACTGCAGTCAGCCAGCAACAGGATGTGTTTCCTGAGAGGAAAAGAGGATGGGAAGAGGGGCCAAATGTAGACCGGTTCCTTCTCTTGTCTTTCCTTTTCTGGCTCTCTAGATCTTGCCGCTCTGTGTGCGGCGAGCTCGACTTCTCACTTTTCGTTTTCAGGGTTGATTTTCTGTGACCATATAGAGCATGATTTTGGCTGACACTTACTACTCTTGCTTTCTTTTACTTCACTTGGTCTCCATTCCCCCTCTTAAAGCAGGGCCCCTAAAGATTTGGGGTATTTCCTGTTGCCTAACTTTAATAAACAGCCCACATCTGTATCAGCTAAAGCAAGGAGGAGGGAGGGGACACAAATAGAGACCAGATGGCTGTGGAATCTTAAATTTGGAAATGAAGCGAAAGACAAGGGGGTAGAGGGGTTGATTTACGTCAGCAAGACAAAAGAAAAAAAGAAAGAGAGAAGTGCGCCTCTTGTTTTGAGTTAAAGTCCTACACATATTCTTGCACGATTGTGCTTGCATCAGTGTTTGTATGTAGGGGGTTTGTGGTGGATTTTATTATAATTTTGATAAATGTTGAAGTAATACTACATTACTAGAAGTCTGGCCAGTGAAGCACAAGAAAGCACACATTTTCAAGTCACTGACCTGCATACTAAGGGTTTGGGTCTAAAATATAAACTATAAACCTAAACCAAACTGTAAATAATTGGAACAGATTTTGCCAACACTTCATTATTTTTTCAAATAAGAAATTTCCTGTGTACAATCACCTGTGCAAACAAGCCATTTCTCTTTTCTCTGTAGTAAAGCGGTATGGGAAAACATGGCACGGATGTGTGTGAAAACCTGCCGGCTGGATGTGGCACGTGTGTGCCTTGGGAATATGGGAAATGCCAGGGCAGCGAAAGCACTGAAGGAGGCGGAGGCTCAGCCTGAACCAGAAGCCCAAACGGCGATGTTGGCCATTCAGCTCGGCATGCTGGTAAGATATTCAAGAATTAGAGTATAAATGACTGATGGGACATGTCTCACTCACAATCATAATGAGTGCTAATTTTTCTCTGCCCCATTTATGGACTACTTTAAAGAAAATGCATAAATTTGTATCAACTTTACATGACACCATTTTCATTTTGGAAAAACATGTCTGAGTCGTGACATGTAAAAACACCATATATTCAAAAGCAGAGAAAATGGATGAGAAAAAAAGACAAGGTCATCCCCTCACTCCAGAAAATGAAATCCATCTAGAGGAAATTTTTTTCTCAGTTCTTCATAGATAACGCTAGTACAACGTAAGGCCACATCCTTTGGCTACAAATAACATGTCCTCTTTTTAGGTCTAAGCTTTTAACCACACAAAGACCATGGGACTTTCCCAACCAAAAGCATTTATCTTTCCATCATCTTTTCCTGTCTTCCAACAGGAAGATGCAGAGAAGTTGTACAAGAGCTGTCAACGCTATGACCTGCTGAACAATTTCTACCAGGCTTCTGGCCAATGGCAGCAAGCTTTGGAAACAGCTGAAATCCATGATCGCATCCATCTACGCACCACCTACTACAGTTATGCCAAATACCTGGAGTCAATGGGTGACAAGACCCTGGCCCTTGCATAGTAAGACACAATCTATTGTGGTTCTATGTTAAAAATAAAGTAGTTTGGCATTTTATTTCTATATCTGATGTTTCTTTGTAAATTTACCCTGGGAACAAAGTTTGATTGACACTGTTTTTGTTGCAGTTATGAGAATTCAGACACACACAGGGCTGAAGTTCCCAGAATGCTTCAGGATGACACAGCATCTCTTGAGGTCTATGTTAGCAAAATGAAAGACAAGTAAGTCCAGACCTTCCCTTGATGGTAAAAAAAAACCTTGTCATCTGCATAGGATATCACATTACAAAGTCATCCATACAAAGTTACATTTAATCATCGGCCCTGTCACCTTATCAATCCAGGAACATTTACAAGTGGTGGGCCCAGTACCTTGAGAGCCAGTCAGACATGGATTCAGCACTGCGTTTCTATGAATGTGCTCAGGATTTCTTCTCCTTGGTTCGAGTCCACTGCTACATGGGGAACATCCAGAAGGTGACTCCATTCGTATTAGGAGTCATGTAGTAAAAAGCCTTAGGCATTAACATCCTCAAATAAAGTCCACAAATGTGATAGTGAATTTATGTCTTTACCAGGCATCTGAGATTGCCAATAACACGGGTGACAGAGCAGCATCGTACCACTTGGCCAGACATTATGAGGGTCATGATGATATCAAACAGGCTGTGCATTTCTACACACGAGCCCAGGCCTACAACAATGCCATACGACTTTGTAAGGTAAATTACTCTACTGTGTGCTTCATACATATATTTTTTAATCAGAACAGATTTTTATTGGTCATGATATTTGACATTGTACTACTGTACTCTCTCAGTGGCTTGTTGACTTTTATTGTGTGTAAACAGGAGAATGGTCTGGATGACCAGCTGATGAACCTGGCTCTGCTCAGTAACCCAGAGGACATGATGGAAGCTGCCTGTTACTATGAGGAGAAAGGCACCCATATGGACCGAGCTGTCGCACTCTACCACAAGGTTCATCTCAAGTGTCTGGTTTTTTTGAATGACTGAGATTATGTTTGCATTGATGCATTCTAAATCATTCCACAAGGGGGCAATATTGCACTATATGTATGTTTGAACTGAACAGTGTTGATTGGTGAAAAAAGCTAGGGATTTGTTTTTATCACAGCAGTATGTTTCATTATTTTCTCCATTGTAGGCTGGTTACGTCTCCAAAGCTCTAGAGTTGGCCTTTGCCACACAGCAGTTCTCTGCACTTCAGCTGATCGCTGAAGATCTAAATGAGTACTCAGATCCAGCCCTCCTGGCCCGCTGCTCTGACTTCTTCATCACACATTCCCAGTATGAGAAGGCTGTGGAGTTACTGGTAGCAGCCAAGAAGGTACCAGTTTGTTTCACTTTTTTGTCTATACATGGAAGTATCAGTTCATATGTGCTTATGTGTGTGTGTGTTTTTATATTTGTTCCTGTATGTGTACCCAGTACCATCAAGCCCTGGAGCTGTGTGTGACCCAGAACTTGACCATCACAGAGGAGCTAGCAGAGAGAATGACTGTAACTGATTCAAAAGATATGGCTGAGGAGGCCCGCAAGGAGGTGCTGGAGAGGATCGCTGACTGTTGCATGCGCCAGGGCAATTACCACCTGGCTACCAAGAAATATACGCAGGCGGGCAACAAGCTCAAGGTAATGCTGTAGTGTGTAGTAAACACTATAGCAAGCTCAGAACATCTTGCAGGTATCGATGGAAGAGTACGAAGGCTTACTCCACCTGATCTGCCAGCTTGGTGTCATGTGCCATCAGCAACATCTGCAATACATAAAAACACACATACATACACATACAAGTTAAAATTTGACAGTGTCAAATCTTTGAAAAGTTTCATTGTATCTTTTTTTAAACAGGCCATGAGGGCACTCCTCAAGTCCGGCGACACAGAGAAAATAGTATTCTTTGCCAACGTTTGTCGTCAGAAGGAGCTTTTCATCATGGCTGCCAACTACCTGCAGTCTCTGGACTGGCGGAAAAATCCAGAGATCTTGAAGACCATCATTGGTTTCTACACTAAAGGCAGAGCTCCAGACCTGCTTGCTGGCTTCTATGAGGCCTGTGCTCAGGTACAGCAAATACACCAATTAAATAAAAATCGCTTTATTTACAGTACAATAATATTTTGGGAGATGTCTGTTCATTTTATGGTCGCGGTCTTATATTAGCAGTTCAGTTCATTAATTTAACGGATGAAACAACAACCACCTTGTTCTGAAGGAGAAATGTCTTCTAAGAAAAAATGAATTGAGAAAACATGAGTATACAAATTTTACATTTGGTGATATATCATTTCAAATAGTTGCAACTTCAGAGAATAAACCATGCAAAATAAGCTGATCTTGGAGCCAATAAAAAAGTGTTTGTTGTGGCTCATGGTGTTAAAATTCTTTACAACTGTTCAATCGTAGCGAGGGTTTTTAAATTTGTGAAAACCTAATATTTTTTAGAATATTTATAAGAGGCTGAAATACTGAATAAACTAAGTTTTTTCTTGTTACCTTTGTTAAGGTGGAAATTGATGATTACCAAAACTATGAGAAGGCACTAGATGCATTGACTGAGGCTGCAAAGTGTCTTTCAAAAGTGAAGGACTCAACTGGAAAACAGGAAGCAAGATTGGCTGACCTGCAGCATAAGATCACCCTAATCAAGAAGTTTGTCCATGCACGCAGGCAAGAATATAGCTCAAGTTATTCTCCTTTGTATCTTCATAAATACCTCTTTTTTCCTTTTGAAACAAACATTTTCTGTTGGAGGTTTTGGTGTTGTCTTCATCTGAGGTTTGATTTTGTCCTTTGGCTGCAGGTTGTATGCAGAGGATGCTGGTGAGGCGGTGCAGTTATGTGAAGCCCTGCTGGAGGAGCCAGAGTTGGACCCTGCTGTCAGGATTGGAGATGCATTTGGTTTCTTGGTTGAGCACCACTGTCAGCAAGGCAACTTCCAAGTGGTAACTGTCCTTTTTCCCTGCTGTTTTAATAGGTGAAATGACCCTTAAGTAAAAAAGGAAAAAAATATATCTGTGTTGAGTCAAAGAAAGCATTAAAGAGAAGTATGAGTCTGAACTCTTGTAAGTTCCTGGATGCTCATTTCTCTGTCTTCTTCCATTTTTCCTGTCCAGGCCTATCGTAAGCTGGAGGAGCTCCAGAAGCTGTTGCCATCACAGAACGTAAGGTACTACATTAGCCAGGCCAGTCTAGAGTCCCTGCAGAAAGAGATGGGTGTTCCTATGGATCGTGGTGACCACAGGCACAATGTGAAGGAGGACGATGAAGTAGAGGAGGATTTAAATTTGTCTTAAAAGAGTATCTCTGAAATTTTTTTTATACTGTTTAAAAATGTCTAAGTATTTTTAAACATTTAGTTTCTTAAATTGTGTGTATGAAGAGTGTATTTTCATCCGCATGAATATATGAGAGTCTACACTTTCTCAGACCGGGAATGACGGTACAGTTGGTCCTGAACAACAGCAGCATGGGATGTGTCAGTTACCAACTAACATCACATTGTTAAAATGAACACGACACAAACAGTAATTGGTTGTTATATGTAAACAGAAGGTACTTAATTATTACACAGGGCAATCACTGTAGAGTGAAGACAGAAAAATGCAGGGAGACAAAGCTACAGGACATGAGGCTTCCACACTTCCACATAAAGACCTGAGAGGATGTCTGTTACCTCAAAAATACCATCTTGTGGTCTTTTTATATAGATTTAAAGTCTAATGCAGAGACAGTGCATTCAGATATAGACTATATCTAACTTATGTACAATTCAATGACATTTTCAAAATGTTATCGTTAAGTAACCCTTAACCTTTATGATCTGCAAAAGGTATGGTTTTCTGTTCTACCTTAAATCATGGGTTCATTCATCATTGTTTTGGCAGACCAGTCTTTGTCAAAATGAAATTTATGTTATTCTTGTTTTTGGTTATACATTTATCCCCAGGTGTAATTATACAGTTTACAGGCATTTGTTACGGTTTATTTTTTTCTATTCAATGATGTATTATTTGTAAATATCCTCTCAATGTCAAAAGACATATCTCTGAAAAGAATTTGCAGCTATTTTTGATAACTTTCAGCCAATTTCTACTTAGCACATGATATTGTGAATTAATACATTAAAATCCACTGTTTCTATACATTGTAAAGTTCCTACAATAAAACAATAAAATTAAATAGCACTTTATTACTTTTAAAGTCTCATATCAGCATAGGCCTGTAATATACTGTGATAGACCAAACATGTATTATTTAAACTGTTTAGTTCTGCAAACATGTAAGGCTGTTACTCAGTTGAGTCAGCTAACTCCTATGTCGTTGTCATTTGACTATAGCATGAAGTCATTGTTGCTGCTAATATATAGTTTCCGTATCTATCATAATGTTATTGACTCCTTTCTAAAACATTACTTTCTAAAAGAAAATAATTTTGAGATCATTATTGCCAGGAGTCAACAGTTGTCCCATCTGTAGTCACAAGAGGGCGCTATTGTCAATGAAATTCACCAAGCAGTAGCTCCAATTCATTTTACAGAGGAGAGGCTGAAACTGGGCCCTGCAGTTTTTCTCAGGTTGAAATAATGCGCGGAAAAACAATGTTTAAACGCTAACGTCTTATTTATGATACAGCGGGAGGGAATAGTGTAAACTAAGCTAACTGTAGACATTAATCCTCAACAGGATTGGTTTGAAGTTGGTGGTGAAAGTTGGAATGAGCCTGAATGCAGTTTGCAGCGGCTTTTGTGGCAAAGTTGTTAAAATAAATAAACAGTCTTAGGTATCAAATGGAGTACGACCGAAAAAAAACAGTGTCCAGGCCAGGCCCGGTTTTGTTTGTGTTTCTGAACCATGGCAACATATTGTTGGTGGATACAGTGGGTACCATTTATGCAGCCACTGAATAAAGATGGACACTCAGGACCAGTCAACTTCAGATGAACTTCAGGAGCGACTTCAAGCTCTTATAGAGGAAAATGTAAGTATAGTCCTCTTAATGTGCAGTGGTTAATCCTACTTTTCACCCCTCAAAATTATAATAGGTTAATTTTGGCCTGGTATTTGGCTAATGAAGTAATGCTAAGCTAAAGGAAAAGCTAGCAAAATAGTCCCTATGGTATATAATGCAGTACTTTTAATTTATAAGCAGTATATATACACATGTAATAAATGATTACCACAATAGTTGTAAGCAGATATAAGTTTATTAATGTATTTGCCAACAACTGTAACTCCTCCAGTAGGCACCCAGATAGGGAGGTTAATTACTCTGCATTAATAAACACTTTGAAATATTCTTGTATTTTCATAGAAATAGGCAACATGGTAGAGTATTATAAGCCATTTATAATTGTAATACCTTTTAATGCTTAATACAGGGACCTAAAGTAAAGTCTTACCAATACAGTCAACATGTGAGTAAATTTAAGGTGGCATGTACCTTTGTCACCTCACTTCAGCCTCAGCTACGAGACAAAAATGAACGGCTTTTCACCAAAGTGGGCTACCTGGAGAGCAGACTGGGCCACCTGGCCAGCTCCAACACAGATCTGTCCTGCAGGCTGGTCCAGAGTGAAGAGCAAAAACTGAAGGTAGAGTACACAAACCTGTGTTAAGCATTAAGTAAAGGTTCAGTGTATGTATTCAGTAGAGCACCAGAGGGATTTGCTTTCTCTGTCCCATCTTTCAGATATCTAAGGAGCTTGTGGAGGAGAAAATTCAGACCAACAAGATGAGAGAGCACTTTGAGGAGGAGACGTTTGAGCTGAAAAACAAGGTGACGGTTGGCTTAAAGTGATGTAGTGTTAAATTTTTAAAAAAGAGGGTAAAATTTAAGCCTCTATTTGATCAGTATCATAAGAATTAAAAATTCTCTAGGTAAGAGCAAATGTGCAAAAAAGCTGCTCAATTCCACTCATACATATAATTACTTGAAATATCCCGCACCAATAGTAACAAAAGTTGTTTGTATTTTCACAAACACACTTATCTGTCCTTTTTTTTCCTTCCTGTCTGTGCTGCACTTTCTTTCCCCTGGTTAGATACTGAACCAAGACGGTGTGATAGCAGAGCTCGAGATGGAGCGAGACAAGCTATCAAGGGAACTCCAGTCAGCTGAGGCTCGTCTGAGAGTGGGAGAGAAGAGCGGTCAAGGCCTGACAGAAGAGTATAACACTCTGAAGAAGAACTACCTGGTGCTGGCTGAGGCCCATGATAAAGAGCTGGCCCAGAGTGAGGAGCTGAGTGCTGAGCTGCTGGCACTGGCCCAGGCCCAGGACGCCCTCCGCAGGCAGCTGGCGGAGCAGCAGCAGAGCGTCAAGACTACCACCCAGGGCCTTCATGGAGAGCTGGACAGGGTGCAGGTCTTGATCAGACGCATGTCATGTAACAGGGTCAAGGTTAGAAAGTGCATTAGCTGTATTAATAGTGGTACTTTAATGGAATCATTCGCATCAAAATTAAAGTTCAGTCATCACTGACACTCTGCTGAGACTCTTACAGCTCCAACATAAGCAGAACATGATGCTCAAACTGTTTGTGCAACCAACGCCAAATGATTTACCTCAGGGTGCAAATGTCTAACATTTCCCTCATGATTTCCTGTGTTTTACTTGCAAATAAAGCCTTGTTAGCATAAGATGTAATGCCTTTTGGGTACAGTAAAAAGACTGTATGTAAAATATTTTGATTGGGCTTTTGTTTTGGGTTAAACTTAATCTTCAAAGTTGAATATTTTCACTATTTGAAATGTAAGGCTCCGTTTTATATGATTGTGTTAACAGCCTGAGGATCTGGCAGCACTGGACAAGGAGCAAAAAACTATGGAAAAAACAGTGAGTATTTCTGCATAAAATACAATGTAATTCATTTTTGGGAACAGTGGTCAGCATGTATCTTTTACATGTATCAGTAAACTATCTAAGTACAGCTTCAGTAGCTGCTCCCTATACCCTGCCATTCATCTGTTGTCACACAGCTTCTTGGGAACCAAGAGGAGATCAAAGACATGTTGGAGAAAATGAAGAACAGTTACGAGGAGCAGCAGAAGAAACTGGAGGAGAAAGTGTGAGGGCCAAAGAATGTTTGTCATTTACTGCTGCACAAGCCTCATCAAAATGAAACATCATTATCTTTCCATTTCCAGTCATCAAACAGCCAAACCCATCTCAGGATATATGTCCCAGCGTTCATCCCACATGCATCTGCTCTGTGGTTTGCTCTTTGATTTTTGCTCTGGTTTTATTTACTGTGTGTGTGTGTGTGATGTGGTCTCTTTGCTTGCTCGTGTGATGTGGCTGTCCATGGATTTTGGTCACTACTCTTTTGTGGTTGAGCCTGTGTTTGGTCACCAGGGTGGCTATGGGTAAAGAGCAGCAGGAGAACAAGAGAGCCATCCATAATAGCCAGCAGAAAGTATCTGAGCAGAGTGCGGTGAGCATGAACAGTCCCAGATACTGATTTACAGGACATTGCTGAAGTTATTGTAGATACTATCACTGTTTTGCAGCTTCTAAATAAATGTTATTACAATTTCAATAGCAGGTTAAAAATGGTGGAAATGTGTTGGAATTGAAATTCGTCTTTTTCATCCAAGGCCCTGATGTGCTCTCAGAGCCAAGTGAAGGAGGTAGAAGAGCAGAACTCAAAGCTGCAGCTTCAAGTCAAAGAGCTGAATGAGGAATACCGTGCAAGGCTGGTGTGCTATATACAGGACATAGCTGTGAGTAGCAGTGAACACAAAGCACTGAAATCTTTGATAAAGTAAGATAATGACAAGTCCATCTTAGTGTATCATTCATTTGTGCATCTTTTAATCCAGGGCTACATTGATGGGCTTGGAGATGGTAAAACTCCTTCAGAGGGAACTAAGATGAGGGCGTTTGTGGAAAGCATGCTTCAGGATGTGCGTTCATCCTACAGGGTCAGGGAGGAACAGCTCGCCTCTGCTGCTCGCTCCTTTAAGAAGAGACTACAGAAGATCACCAAGAGCCATCATGCCCTCCTTATTGCATACAGGTAACACTAATGTCTGTTTAATTGTCAATAATTACATTTATTCACCATCTGCATAAATATGATCCTAAAACTTAATATACATATTGAGCTAAACAAACTGACTCGCTAAACTGAGGCAAGATGATTAAATCTCCAAACATCAGAAGTGTCATAATTTTAGTGATGATGTATTAATAATGATAATGTAATATGTAGATAATACGATGTAATTAGTAGGTAACAGAAAAGATTTCAAGAGTCCATAACTGCCACTCTAGTGTTCAACTTTTGATGAAACGTGTTACCTTTACCAGCACTGCTATCATATTAACAATGACTCCATCCATAAAGCATGACTCCGCCATTACTGTATATTTATGTTTTTGTCAACAAATCCCATGAAAAGACAAAAAATAACTATGCAGTAATGGATCTCCCAATGCTTTCTGACTTTCTTATCCTGTTTGTGACACTTAGCAACAAGCCAAGTAAATAGCTTTTTTTAGCTGGGGACTATTTTCTACTGCTATTTAGCTACAATTTGGTACTCATGTACATCACAATGAATTAGCATGTCACCAGTGCTGATTGATGTATTTTCTATAATATTTTTTGGATAATAACATATATTTGTTACATAGGCAACAAGGATAAAATAGAATACCACCACACCATATATAATGATATTAGGGTTCAGAGGGAGCAGATGTTGGCCAAACCAGAGAGTGGTCTTGACCCTGGACCTCCAGAGGCCCACTTCAGCCTGGAGCCCACTGAGCTGAGAGATGAAACTGAGAACGAGCTGCAGCACCTTCGTCAGGACAAGGCGAGGCTGGAGGGTCAGCTGCTGGCGGCCCAGGAGAAGGTAGTATAAAAGAAAGATGACTGCTTTGAAGTGGATCAATCTGCCTTTGTTTTGTCTGGTGAATGCTTGTATTTGGTCTGTGGGGGATTCTTCTTTGTGTCCATGCTTCCCCTATTTTAAAGCCAAAGAATGTTTGAACTGTCACAATGTCCTGCAGCAACATAAAGGACTATTGTTGCAGAGGTGGATTGCAGATCATGTAACAGCACCGATGTTCCTTTATTTGGTTTACATGAATTTATGTGTTTATGGTGATTCAAGACCTTCACTCTGACTTTTCTGTTCCAGGTGGCTGCCCTCAGGATGCCCGTTCAGAACTTAAGCTGTCAGGAGTGAGTGTCCTTTTTGTATTTAATCAAATGACAAAACATCATCAGCTGTGGAGTGTGTCTTAAAAACAATCATGTAACTTTATTAGGCCGGCAAGACAGGAGCAGACATGTGAGGATTCCTGGCTGGACATAAGGAAACAACTGAAGGAAATCACAGACTCTACACTGGTAAACAAAACTTTTAGATTGTTTGATGGCATTCTCAATATGAAGAATCTTTTATGTGATAAAGGTGATTTGAAGCTTTTCTTCCTTCAAAAAGGTGAGCTCTGAGAAGGAGCGCGCCCTTCTCATCACCAGAGCTACAGTTGCAGAGGCGCAGGTGTTGGAGTTGCAGGACTACATTGACAACCACCTGGGCAGGTCAGGAAGTCACTGATGTAAGTCATATAATGTTTAAATTTCAATTTGAGTGTTATATTGAACTTACCCGCTACCTGCAGGTATAAACAGGAGATCACACATCTCCGCAGACTGCACGGGATACAGGAAGTGGGGCGTTCCCGAAGGGCTAATTCATCTCTCCATTAAGAAAACTGAAAACTGAACTCCAGTCATATACTGCAGAATAATGAGATTGCACTGAAGCTAAAAATCTCACATATATGTCATTTGAAATTTAAATTGTAATCTTAAATATGTATTTCTGTGACATCATACATAAATCAGTGATTGTAAGCAGCTCTAATTCCTGTTTAAATGGATACTCAATATAAATCTAACCGAATAAGCTGTTTTGAAGCATTTAAACTTGATGTGTGAATCCTTGGTGCTTTTACACTATCACTAGGTGGTGCTGCTCATACTGGTGGTTTTCTCTATGAAAGGCCCCCAAAGAAATCCGGCCTTGAGAAAAAAATGCCTGGAATGTTTGTAAAGCTTATGTCAATTTCACGAGCTCGGGAGAAGAAAGCGCGGTGACAATGAGGGGGTCACCCTGGTGAGAATAATGTCATTACATGTTACCCAGACACATACACGCCTGTGAATACTTTCCCTCAGTGCCGTGCTGAGAACTGTGGCGCAAACAAGCCAGGCTTTTTCCAGAATGAAGGTTCATATTTATAACCCCAGTGTTGGTTTGAATGGTCAACTATTCCCTTTAAATCCCTTTCACAGTGAAAGGGTCTGCTTATTTCTCTCTAGTGTGTTTTGGTGGCTGGGTTTCCTGTCATAGCTGACAGCTGATATAACTTTAAAAATAAAGTGTCCTTTTAAATGTGGCATTAATTGAAAAGTTTGATCCAAACTTGATCAAAACAAAGCTATATGTTGGAAAAAGTTGAAGCAAAAATACTCAGGGGAATGTTGGGAAAAGAAGAGGAGATGGAAAGGCATAGACATGTCACCCCAATCCCCTTTTCAGGGGGCATGCCAGCCATGGGAGGGGGTTAGCAGGGGTGTGAAAGTTTGAGAGGAATGGGAAGTGGGATTTTGTTAGTAATGTATTACACTCCCAGGGCCCTGGGAAAAGGGGTGGGGGGTGTTCAGCTTGGGTCTGTGCCAACATAGTCACTGTGCCAAAGCGCTGGGTGCTGGGGACCACTCCTCTCACCGGCAGATCTGTGGGAAAATCAAAACCAGGTTGTTCTTTGCTGCTCCGCCAACAAAGACAGAGAGGTGATGTGTCTGCAGAGGCCTCTGCAAACTTGTACAAATGAAATGTACTCTGAGTAAACAAAAAGCAAGAAAAGGAGTAGAAATTGTAACATTACAAATGCATTGTAGTAGGAGTTTATCTGGTGCACCACAGCTGGTCCCCAAGGCAATGTGCCAATCTTTTTGGTCTAATAAATGTGGCAACAAAAAGCCCTTCATTTAAATGATAATTTCTCTATGAAACGCTAAAAAATATTGCAAAAAATATTATTCAAATAATGTATAAAAAAAGTCCCACAAAAAGGAGGGATTGGCGAGATCATCTGCAGTTATCACAGTAGCACTGTTGCTAGGATAACAGCACTGAGTTCAGTCAAACAACCAAGTAGGGCTGTCATGATATCAGATTTTCACTACACTATTATCGTGGCCAAAAGAATTCACGATGATGATATTATTGTGATATCCATGGAAAATTTTAAGAGGAAAAAAAAGAATGCTATCAGTCATATTAATCTTCTCTGTTTATTGTGTATTTTGTCTGTACGAGTGTTGGCTCCTGATTGGAGCATGTAAGTCAGGACTAAGCCTCCGCGGTACGAGCTCTACCAGGTGAGCCACCAGGGCAACCCGTGGTCCGAGTTTTTAATGACCTGTAGCGTCTACCTGAGGGCAGAGGGTCAATCAGGTGGTAGCCAGGGTGAGAACAGTCTTTGATAATGTTTTTTTGGCTCTGGACAGGTGGCAGGTGTTTGCAATGTCTTGGAGTGAGGGAAGAGAGCAGCCGGTGATTTTCTGTGCTGTGTTAATAACCCTCTGTAGAGGAGGTGGAGAGAGAGAGAGAGTCTGTAACCATAACTGTACAAAAGCACACAAAAACACATTTACCACATGACATGATAAACAAAAGATCCACAAGACCTAACATCTGCCATCATGATATTATCGTACGTGTATTATTAACACACGTTCACTATTTCATTTTTTAAAAAGACTTAAACCTACTTCTGATAATCCTGTTTATCTGAAGCAGTGATTTGAGTTATAAGGTATGAATTATTTATCATCTTACTGAAAGTGGAGCGCATCTTGGTCCACCACTGTACCCACAAGCTACAGTACAGCCAATAAAACACACACAGGCATAAAATCTGCTTTTTACACTTGTCAGACACCACCATCCTACCATTACAGATGTCACAGATCAGTTTTCCTCTGATCCTCTCAAAACTGTATTTAAAATATTAATATATTCAGTACTTATTTACTGTTTATACAATCACATTTTATCACTCAAAATGTTGTATAAATCTGATCTTTGTATCAATTATGTCTATATGGGTTACAGAGCATTAGGATCAAAATATTACTATGAAGTTGCTATTACATGGTCGTTACAGTGATGCGTTTATAATGATGTCTTTGTGGAACCAAGCATTTTGTCCTTCAGTATAATACAGTCTACAAGTGCCATTGTGTCAGATTTACTCCTTTCTGATTGTCTCATCAGAACTGAACATTTTAACCTTCACAGAGATTAAAGGTTTCATTCAGGTGTTGCTTCTGTAGTACGTCCCTGTCCAGCACTTTTCAAAAATAATGATTCCTGATTCTCAACCACTGAAATGCTTCTAACATAATCATTTTATATCATCATCTTTTATTGGTAAATTTTACGTTCACTTCACATTCATACCCCTCATGTCAGGCTCTCGTCTCCACAAAGAATTGTTTGTTTTCCTTTACTTTCTGTCTCTTACAAAAATATATGATCCCTTTTTTGGCATGTGAAATAAAACAACTGGGTTTTACTGTGCACGTTCAAACTAATGTTTTATGTTATTCAATACTATGTTATGCTTGTCGGGTTAAAAAAAAGAAGAGAAAAAACATTTGAGCATTTTCACTCTCTATCACGGAGATTGCTGATCTGTGAAGGTCAAGTCAAATCAATATAAAACTCAAGCATTCTGGTTTGTGTGAAATCATTATACTGTAAGGACCCTGACCTAATCAACATTACAACTGCAACTAAACATTTGATTCTTTCTCCGCTCTCGTCCGTTTTGTTGTTACTTTGGGCCCAGATTTGTTGTGTGACCAGCACAGTGGGAAAAAGGTTGGATGAATGTGTCATTCTGAGGATGGGAAGCGGGGTGGAGCGATGCAGAGGAAGTACCTCACATGGCCTGCGATGGGCCGCTCGTCAAGAGGCCCTTTGTTTTAGGAGGTTAATGCCTAATTGATACAGGCTTAATGAGAGCGGGCTGTGTGTGCAGAGTGTGTGAGCCGGGGGGCTGGACGGCCCTGCCATAATTGGAACGGACAAGCCTTGTGTGGAGGAGTGCACAGGGAAGGGATTTATGGGAACACAAGGAAAGGAGAGGGAGAGTGGGAACCGGGAAGAAAAGGTGACACTGAGTACGAGGAATGTGGAGGCAGTGGGAGAGGAATCCGATGTGATAGTCAGAGTAATGCAAGATCATGAGAAAGAAATGCAGTGACAATGAAAAAGTGAGCATGAAGTTTAACCAGGACGTTCCCATGGATGTTTAGCCAGTGCTCCTCCCATGATACTAACATGTATTAAGATACATTTTGAGCTTGCTGCATTGGATATTAATTAATGAGCGAAAAAAACGCCAACATAAACTGTCTGTAACTCTGTTTTATGAGACACCTGTCTTTTCTTTTCTGATGAGCTGTCTTTTCGCCCCCTCTTTCAGTCTGACAGTCTCAGACTATTCATGCAAGAGTCCCCAGCTTCCCTCCAGACAAGCTTTCAGTATGAAGGCTGGAGAGGCATTAAGAGGGAGGAGGGAAGGGGCAGGAGAGGGGAGCACAGAAGAACCGTGCACTTCAGAAAACCTTGAAGAATTAGGACTGAAAGCTATGGAGATTCTGGGTGGCTACGAGAAGGGGAAAAAAAAGAATGAAAAGAAGAAAAAAATAAAGGGGATCAGTGTGCATAATTATAAAGATGAGAGGGGGAAACAATGAAAAATGGATTCTCGGGGTGAGGGTTAACAGAGTGAGCTACTAAAGGTAAAAAAAAAAGTGATGAAAATGTGAGTGTGGAAAGAAAAAAAAGTCTAGAATATAGGGTGAGAAAAGAGGGGAGGAAGAGTTACAGTAGGGGTGAGAAAGACAGGGGAGGGAGGCAGCTTGATGAACAAGAGCGAGTGAAAATGAGGCTGAGTGTCGGTGAGGGAAGGAGAGAGGGACAGACCCTCTGCTTTCCCACACTCGGCCGGTTCCCACAGTGGACCCGGCTAATCCCTGTCTTAATTGGGGGAGAATTCCAGCGCACATGTTCCCCTGGAATGAGCGTAGAGCGAAGGGAGAGGAAAGCTCTGGAGCTTCTGACACATCAGACAGGCCACAGCGGCTGGGCTGATGCACAATGTGCGAGTGCACTTTGTAGAAATATAAACATGCAAGCCCGACTGTCAGCACATCTGATGCATAATTGGCTTCACGAGTTTCTCTGCTTCTTTTTCTTTTCACTCGATCCAACATGAAAAGTGCTCCTAGCAGCCACTTAGCATTGCTTAGTCACATTCCACCATGACTGGAGTATGTAGCTTAAAAGTGTCATGTCATTAATGTTAAAGAATCCTACACGTCGCACACTATCCCGCGATTCCACGCTGTTAAAGGGTCAGTTCATCTCATTTCTAAAAAGACATGTTTTTCTCTTTATTAAGCTATATGTGCTACGGATTTAAGATATTTGTCTCCTGGTTATATCTAATACTTTATTGGTGACTGGAATTTTCTTTATGGTGCTCAAAGCATTGAAAATGACATTTAAATGGCATTTCACATGGAAATTGTTGCTGTGAAAACTCTTGAGAGTTGAAAAGTTCGATCTGTGGATTAACCTGAGTTATTCAAATTTATTTATCTAATGGTCAGAGGAACAAATTCCTCTTTTCTTCATTGTATTGGGGTTGCAGCAGAATTTTCATAGGTGGATATATCAAAACCTCAGCACTAAAACTTAAACTATCCTCATGGTGGACTCCACCACGAAACCGTGCTTGAAGTATCTCGGTTTTTCAATTTTCTTATTCCCAACTGGCTAAACATAGAGAAATAAGTCATAGCAACATATTGACTATTCAGTTTTAAAGGTGTTTGAGGTTGTTTTGATGATTTGAAACCAAAAGTTAATGCTTAACTTAATAATGTAGCAGCTTCTCTCTAGGCTGAAAGAAATCCAACAGTTGCCTCAAAAGACCACAATGCAACATGGCAGCAAAACATTTTGGGTAATAAGTAACAGCACCATTAAACTCCAAACAAAGTGTTTGGTAGATGGATGAAAATAGTCAGAAACCCCCAATAATTTCTGTAACTTTCCAAAACGAACCCTCTGACATTCACTCCCATCTCACACAGTCATCGGCCAAGGGTGCAGAGGTGAGAACGTAAGCATGCATTGATGATATCTGACAAAAAATGTCTATATCAAGTAATATATTTGTCTATTAATACTAATAAATGGACACCTGCAAGAGTTTCATGGTGAACCTGGTACAAATCATCATGTTTTCACATATTTCGCAGCACAGCGCACCAGGAGTATCTGTTGACAAATCTTGCCCTGAAGATGAGAAATGCAGGAGAAAAATGCAAGGAGATACTAGTAACATAACAAAACCACTGTGAGTGGCAGTTTCGTTCCTGCCTACCTCTTTCCTTAATAAACATTTCGAACAATAGGGCACAGTGCTATATGTCTCTGAGGAGGTAACCTAAAACGACTGCTCCGAGGAGAAAGATAACAGGCAAAAAAACCCCCAAAAAAACAAAAAACAGGTACAACAGGGGAGGCTGGGCTGTGCGTCAGTACTGCAGGATTAGATTGGACAAACAGAGGTGGGTGGCAGGTAGTGAGAGAAGAACTGAACTGATCTGCCAGGGAAGTTTCTCCCTTTTGTGTGGACAATCGCACAGGTTTTTGTCAGTAAACCATAATCCTGGTGGTTAATTGGCAGGGTTGGAGAGCCCTTCAAAAGACAGCTGTGCTACCTAGCAGTGGGTAGACTCTCAGTCTGGGGTTTTAGTATCCAGAGGGATGACGTCACCTCATGAGGAGTCATTGTTATGCCATTGTATTACAAGTTCAGCTTAGAGATGAGAATTTTAGCATAGAAGGAAGTGTAGGAAACGACCTGTAGGAAAAGATCATATGATGATCAGTAATATTTTAATTAATACTAATGAATATTTACATTTTTAGCCACACTCACTTGGGGCTGTATGTCGGTTGGTCGGTCATTTGACCCACCTTTTTGGTCCAGACATTTATTCTCTCCAGAGGATGAATCCTTCACACTTTGGTGATCCCCCTGACTTTTCCTCTTACCACTATGAGGTTGACACTTTTCTGTTGAGTATCGTGTGAGCCTGTTTCCCCTCGTCCTGCCACAGTGACTGTCTCTAAGTAGCCTTATTACAGTATAATGTCAGTGTTGGGAGGTTTTTGTGGTTGTACCCCCTGCAGGCGATGTCAGCCCCAGGATACGGTGAGGAGATGGCAGCTGTGTTGAGCTCAAACGGAGGGGTAGCGAGCGGGCCTTCATCGGAGGGGGTCGCAATTCACTCCTTCTGTCTTTCCTTACAATACTTTTTTTTTTTGGCGGGAAATCACCAAAGACGCTTGTTTGACCCAACTTGTGTTTCTTTGCAGGACCCCCTCCCTGAGAAAAGTGTCGCCCGCCTCCACACTCATACACCATGTCCACCCTGTCTTGATTGATTTTCAGTGCGCATTTTGGAAGGGATTACAGCCATCTGCAGGCTCTTGAGGAACAAAGGAGGCTCCTCGCTCTCCTCCCTTCAGTACTTCAGAGGGATAACATGGCCAGATAAACATGCTCTTGCACCGCTCTACACTTGTTCTCTATTCTGCCTTGACCTCTCAACCCACCCAAACTGCCCACTCCACTTTAAAGCTGACCACGTTTCTCTCTCCCTCTGTCACCCTGCTCGGTGAATAGAGGTTACTCTTTACGCATCGCTTGTCGCCAATTGCTCGCTACAGAAAGACCAGTACGAGTTTGTGCCTTACAAAACTTACTGCGCCGAGGAGGGTAAAGTAGGAGCAGGGCGCGAAGAAGTGCGTGGCTCGATAATGGCTGGCATTTCCTTCGCATGAGAATTAGTGCATAGCAAGTTATCGTGTTCTCAGACCTGAACATTCACAGTTTCCATTTGTGAATCATCACTCCCAGCTGTGCGAGAGTGTTATGGGAACCAGAAATCGTCAGCTGGGATTCTGGGATGCCAAAGTGTGGTCGAGAACGTCATGCACTGCTGCACTCTCAGCTGGTGCTGAGCTGATGGAGACGCACCAGGATGCGCAGCCACCGATGTTTGGTTGGATTACCAGCAATTGTTTATGTGGAAACAAACCCACAGCTGTTTCTCCATCACTTCTTACTAATATTGTTCATGCAGAAGCTGCACAGAAGCCCCATGACATTCTCTTTCCCCCTGTGGCTTTTTACGTAATCTCATACACTATGGGTTAAAACCACGTACACCAAATCAACAGAGACGCTCATATTTACCTTTAAATTTTAAAGTTATCTTTAATAAATAGGGCTTTAAAGATGGAAATTGTGTATTTTAATGGGAACCTTGGATTGTTATGTCTCGTCCTGAAGTGTTTGAGGAACAGTTGGAATGTAAACTGTCAAAGCACATAACGAACACGAACCTCTTTCTCATCTGCCACTCAGCAACAAGAGGGAAATCACTGGAAAAGGAAAGCAGTGGAAAAGCTGCAGAGATTCAGTCATTCAGAAACCTCAAGTATCTTTTGGCACAAGGCGAGAGATTTGAGATTCAGAGTGTATGTAGAAGTGTATGTCAGGGCATCGCAACCAATGTTTTGGTTCCACAACAGCGCTACAACCCAGCAGCTGTGGACCATGCGGTGGGAAAGACTGGATGATGAAGCCATGAATCAGAGAGAGAGAGAGAGAGAGAGCCAGGTGAAGGATGAGTGTGAGAAGCTGTGAGAGAGATCAGGCTGTAGAGCAGAGATGAACACGAAGAGGGTATTTTGAAGAAAATGAGTGGATGTTCCTGTGAACAACCCAAAGGGGAAAGAAACTCTTTTCAGATTTGACTAATTGAGAACAAACAGAATAAAAAGCTGATAGAAAAACAAGGAACTTGAATATTAATAGGCTTGTATCAGTTTGGATACAAGTCTAATTTTGCAGGTCTGATTTATGAATCTTTATATAGTTGAATAACAAGCACAGGACCTGTGTGCTAGGTGTGGTGTTGTTGTGCTGGACTACAAGGGAGTGTCCAGGAGCACTTTGCCCCCGTCTGCCCCTCTCATCTCTCGAGCTTTGTCTCTGGCCACTTCCCTCAAACTCCCCCAGGGACTGACGGAAGTCCACACCCAACAACTCTCCCATCGCTTTGGCTTCCACTTTCCTGAGTGTTTCCCGCTTTGCTGTGTCCATACCTCACCTCAGCCGCACAACAGGACATAATAAAGAGAGGAGCAGGGTGGATGGTGGAGGAGGGTTTGTTGGGTCTTTAGCGTTCCGCAAAAACCAATGAAAACCTCCTCAGCGTTGAACAAGCACACGCCTCATTACCAGTGTGCAATATAATCAGAAGTTCGAATCCATCACAGAAATGTGTTTTCAGGACCTTGATCAAATCTTCTGTTGACACAGTTGATTTAAAATATTTTTTCTGTTTTATCTGGATTGTACTCAGTGTAATTAACTTTAATCTCTTTAATAGTAAGTGCTAAACCAAGCTGTGTCACTGTGGCTACACTGACATTCATACTGCCGTTTTTAGGGGTTCATGCTGGGGTCACAAAGAAATGACAATAATGCAGGAAGTTGAGCTTTGTCAAAATGTCACATGATGTATTAGTTGAGGGAGTATAATTTGAGTGCTCTTTGTTTTGGCTTTATCAGCCCTGCAGCAGTAACCTCAGATGGACTGGAAGGGAGGGGGGCAGAGGAGTGTCCGTGTGTACAGGGTTGAGCAGCTCGGGGGCCCCCAGCTACGGGATGTTTTAAAGGAGCACTGAGGCAGTAAATAGCTGGGGAGGTTGGAGGTTCACTCACACAAACTACTGATGCAGTGGCAAACCAGTGTCAGGGTTTCTATGGGAGATAGCTGGCCAGACATGGTAGGCATGTCGAGCTTTTGTGATTCTTTTACATTTAACCTAAACACCATGTAAATTCCCCAGCTGCTCTTTTACTGCGTGCAGTAAATCTGAGATTTTACCGAGGTGTGTGCAGTACAAGTTTATGCAGAATTTTGCAAGAAGGAGAAACAGGTGGTGAATTTATCATAGAGGTCCAGTGATATGGGTGTTTATTATCTACCCTCATCTGTTCGAAGCAGAAAATGTACCATAGTCAGCCATGACAGGTAACAGATATATAGATTAAGTCTAAACTTTTGCTCCAGGCTGAAGGGGTACGGTGGACCAGAGTGGAAAACAGATTTGGTTTGATTGTGTCCTTGTGTACACATGGTCAGGATAAAGTGAGCGACTGTGTGGCACCTCAGCTCAGCCGAGTCTGCCATGCCTCTCCCTTAATGGCAATTTATTGCTTCCTGAATCCTGAAAATGGGAGGCTGAGGACAACAGAATTCCAACCACTGTTTTCTACCTCCTTCCCCGTCCAAACGCCCTCAGGGTCCTAAACACTCCCTAAATCTCTCTGCCTTTTAGGCCCTCTCGCTCTCTCCGGCACGCCATTTGTTCTGCGCTTTCAGGGATGTGATTCATGGGCACTTGAAGTGACTTATGTCTGAGAAAAGTTTACCATGGTAGAAACGTTTGGAGCCACATACTCTAATGTAGCTTAAACATTTTTATGTGCTGAGTGAGAGGGTTATGGAGCATGAAATGATCCTGTTGAATTAAAAAGCCTTAAAGAATCAGTTCAAAGTGAATATAAGTGAGAAGAAAATAAATACATCAGGAGTGTTTTCTCACAGTATATTTTAATAACACAGACAAACATAAAAATAATCCACAATACTGAGACACAGTTGTTTTTTTTTTCCACAGGCCTTTTTCATGCCATTGTTTCTAGAAATTTCTTATTAACATATTTACATTCACATTGATATTCACATAAATTCACATGAAAAATAAAACAGCAAAATGGCAGTGTACGCATTTAAGACATACCGCTTCAGCATATCATGGTAATTTGGTATGAACCCCTTTCCCCTTGCTGATATAGTGCACATTACATATGACATCACTTTACAGAACAGAACTGTATACATTAAATGCATATTTTGTTTCTTTTGAGCGAGCCTTCTCCAGTGTAGTCATTTATTTTTCCACCAAAAGTTGGATTTTGACATTTATCTCTATATATATCTCCATCTTTACACTCATCTTTCTAGTACATGATAACACCAGACTTCTGTTATGAATGGCTGTTGTCGAATGTTTAATAAAAAGCTGGCTTGTTTTACTTTCAAACCAAAAAAAAAATTGCTTCTTAGTTTTAATTTCTAGCAATATACAGCAACATCAGGAGAGAGCAGTGAATGACATGACAACAACTAAACTTGTAACTGCTTTGGCAAGACTCCTGCAACCAACATCATTTTAAATAACTCTGCTTAAAGTCAAATACAATCCAATTTTAAAGAAATATTGCTTGCTATTGAAATGAAACATATGATCTTATAAAAAATGAGTCTGCGTCTCCTTCCCTAAACACAATCTCAGAGTTGGCTAGAATGTGAAAGTGCTTTCAGCACTATATGGAGCTGTGAAAGGTAGCCTTAGCTTCGTGTTACTACTGTATGTGCTCACATTGTCTGTACATATATTAAATTCTTACTTGCTCCACTATGCTACATATAGTTGCTTTTTTATTTTTTTTTGGTTTTCAGTGCTTGCAGCATCACACTTTCCAGATCATTCCCTTTCCTTAATCAGTGCAAATATATAATTTTTAATATTTCCTTTATTTTAATAATCTCCTTAGTAATAGTAACACTGAGGATGACCCCAGTACAGGGGTAACCAAAAAAATCACCGTCCCATGGTCAGACATTTTCTGCACAAAAACACTGTGGTAAAGAAGGTAGCCTCAGTGTAGCCTCACCAGGACACCAGCTAAAAGGCAGGAAGCTTTTCTGTAGAACTTTTCACAAATGTTCCTGAGTTTCTGAGCAATGACTCTGAATAGGCCTGAATTAATGGCTTAACTTAATTTATCCCGAATGGAAAGCTTTTCAAAAGATTTTCTCTGAACCAGCATGATGGCATCACTGTTTCTACAACTGTCCAATGCCAAATGCTTCTAATCTTTATTTCCACCATGTCTCTCATGTCTCAACTCCACCAGGTCTTTTGGACCAGGTGAGTGCATATTGCACTGAAATGGTGTTGGGAAAGTCCATTTCACTCCTCAGTCCTTTGGGAATACCCGTCGGTGGCGCCATGGCAACATCGACCGACAGTTGCGCATCGTGGCTTTTTCCGAAACATGGAGCAGGGCTGAGTTTGGCCTGGCTTTGAGGACAGCCTTGATTCTGTGCGATAGACGAGCCGCTGCAGAGTTTGAACTCAGTCTACAGGCAGTTCACAGGGTATTTGCTGGGCTGCTTTGGCTATAGTGTACGCCCGCTGGAAGTCCTTGTAGCGGGGAGCGCAGCCCAACCAGGCCTCCCCAAAGTGGACCCTGCCGGTGAAAAGGAAGCTGCCTGGCCCCGGTTTGACGCCACACTGCAGCAGAGTCCTGATCTCACCCTTGCTGGTCAGGCGACTGTTGCCGGTGAACAGGGCGTACTTCTGACGAAACACCCGCGTGGCGCTGACCTTGATCACTGCTGCCCGCAAGTTCTCGTCTTCCGCCACTGAACGGATGTTACCGCGCACCACTGTGGATCAACAGAACATTCAGGTTCATTTCTAGTTCATCTCTATGGTTATTTTACAAACACACACTTCTGACTTATGTTAACATAAAATGCTTCACTGTGCTTTTATCATCTTGAAAATGTTGCTGTGTCCTATTTCAGCTAGAGATGTGGTTCACTGCGGGGTAACGACTGATGGTAAAGCCGTTGGAAGGCCCAGGCCTGGTCACTAATCCCTCTGACTTTCTTTGCTGGCTGAACTTTTCCTCAGTCCCATTACAACTCAATCAGACGCCTGCAGATTAGCCCACTGCTCTTTCTCTAAGGGGGTGATGTTGGGATTAGTCCACTACAGCGCCTCCAGTAGGAGTTCCTCTGTGTGTGTGTGTGTTTGTGTGTGTGTGTGTGTGTGTGTGTGTTGGGGGATACAGAGAGCTGCTGTTTCACCTTTAACCTTTGCACTTTTGAGAGGAGGGGATTTGCAGGCACTGGGGTGCTCTGCCTTTAAACCGATTCGACACAACCGATTTGTCGATCCTGAGTAGAAATCATTACTTTCTGTAGCTTTGCTGCAAGGACTTCTTGCCATTTGGTGGTCTGGTTTAATATGTTAATCCTATCTGAATTTGAGGCGGGGGCACTCTCAGTGATTTCATTCTTTGCTGTCTTTCACATGTTACATAGACAGGGTGGGGAGGGGTTGGAAAAAGGTAACTTACCAAAGTCACTGGTGCAAACAGCCATCAGAATCTCTGTGTTGTTGCAGGGTCTGCAGGCATCTGGAGCGGGAAAAAAGAAAGAAAAGAGAGGGAGAATCGGTTAGTGACCTCACTAAACTCTCTAAACTGCTCGGAAACACCTATATGCTAATACTTATACTGAGCCTCTGGAAACCAAAGGCCGCATTTCCAGATCACATGCACAGGAATGTCAGATGTGAATCCCGACCTGAAACTCTGTGCAAAGACGAGCAACAAAGGAGAGACCAACCGCTGAGTTGTAACAGACAGCTGCTACTTTTACAGTTGGCAGAGGAGGACCAGTGGAGCTTTAAGGTGCAAGGCTCGTCCACCCTAGACGATTTAAAGGCCAAATGAAACTTCCCCCCCTAAAGCCTTTTAGGGTGTCTACAGTCACACCTCATCAAAGCCTAGACAGGGGCCAAGGAAGGGAGTCGGGGAGGACTTCAAAGATTTTTAAAGCAACACAATCCCACTTCCCAGAACATTCAGTGCTCCCTTTCACCTAAGGCCTGACGAATTTTCTTAAAAAAATAAATAAAAAAAATACAGTGCACCTTCCTGAAATTTGTAGCTGGATTTAAGATGGCCAGGAAAAAAAAAAAAAAAAAAAAAAAAAAAAAAAAAAGGACAAAAACCAAACCAGCAAAGCTCTAGCTGTCTGGTTTGACTGAATTGTGGCTAGACAAAAAGTCCTGGCATTTTTTAAAGTTCTCCTTGTGGTTCTTTGGAGGCCCCTTGCCCACCCCACACATTCTCCTCCTTAGTGAAAACCTCTTGATAAATGAGATTCCTTCCTCTCTAGTCCAGAGCAAACCCCCTTCCAAACCTAATCAGTGTGTGTGTGTGTGTGTGTGTGTGTGTGTGTGTGTGTGTGTGTGTGTGTGTGTGTGTGTGTGTGTGTGTGTGTGTGTGTGTGTGTGGGACAGAGAGAGAGAGAGATGTAGGGGGGAGTATACTCCTACAGACAAGTCTCCCCACAGAGAGGCAGCTCAACAAAAGAGGGGAGCATCTCAGCTGGGCAGAGGCCTCCCTATCGCCTAGGCGACGGCAGTAATCCCAGAATACTCATGCGGCACCCATTCAAAGGGCTCTGGACTGTGGAGAAAGCCCCACATACTGTGCTTTTGTCCCCCCCCTCCTCCTCCACACTCCACAGCTCCCTGTCTCCTACTCCAAACCAGCACGCCTCTGGGGAAAGTTTGGCCACTTCCTCCTCTCTGCATTCTACATGGGCCGTGGAAAGTCCAACCAGCCCACAGAGGCCTGTTATGAATTATGAATCATCTACAGGCAGAATTTTATGGTGTATAATATCGTCACTGGTGGGGTAAGACCTTGCATCCAAACTCTTCAGGAAGGAGGAAAAAAAAGGGTTGTGACCACAGTTTGGTAGTTTTTATGAGAGTTTTGTGCGACTAAGAAGCCACAGTTTTTGACATCCATAAAGAAACAAGGTGAACTTTCAGACGTTCACATGGCAACTTAACAAAGATTATAGTTTGAGAAGAAAAAGTTCTTCTGTATTTCCTCTTTCTAGTTAATTCATTGACTAGAAAGAAGAAAACAAATCAAAGTGTATTTGACCTTAAGTTGGCTGACTAGTGCCTCACTGGCTCACCTTCACTGCTGATGGTGTTGGAGTCCAGTGACAGGCGAGCGGTCCAGTCCCCTCTCAGCTCGTAGCGAAAGGAGGCGATCCTCCTGCTGATGTCCTGGTGAGGTGTAGCTTGCAGGAACAGGGCCACCCTCTCCCCAGGCAGGCGGCTGAAGCACCGGACCCTCGGCGGGGGAGAGGACTCCAGGCGGTCCCCTACCAGCAGCTCCAGGACACCGTCTCTCTCCAGGTAGAGCTGGGCTCCGTGGAACTGCTCCGAGGGCTTGACGCAGGCTGTGATGAGGCCTGAGCTGCTGCCGCCGGGCCCCACCGCCACAGAGGGCAGGCGGGGTGAGAGGGTGAGGCGCAGGGCTCCTTTGGGGTACAGCCAGTCTAGAGTGCCCTCTGAGCAGTGGAGGGAGATCTGCTCCACGCTGCCCTGCTGCTGGGACAAACCACTGTGAGAAGGAAAGAAGAGAGGGAGAGGAAGCTGAGTAAAGGTTTCACCATCATTTATCCAGAGTCCCTAACATCATCATCAGTGGATACTTCCCTGAAGTGTACTGACTCACTGCAGGATGGACTGACTGAATGTGAGCCCTGCAAACAGGCAACTTGAACCAAAATTATAATAAGCATTTAGTATAAATACAAAATGACTTAATAAAATAATAAAAACTCCAGCTTCTATAGAACTTATCAAGACATATTCAGAGAAGGCGCCGCCTACTGGCAGCTGTGTGGAAGCAGGGGCCCTTCACATAATCTGTAGGGTCCAATTTTATGAAAATGCATTAATTCTCTGCATGTATTTTAACATACATAGCTGTGATGAAGCTGCACTTCAACAACTGCATGCACAATGCGTGTTTCCTGCAAGTATCGGAATTAATCCTCCAGTCTCCTGTCTGTCTGGACCCTCTGTGCCTCCTGCAGACAGCCCGGAGGCGCTATCGCTGCAGAGCTCTAGAAACATTTTAATTACGGCCTAATGGCAAGTCTCAACGTGATGCATTCAAACCAGCATTGTCCTTCACTCACTCTGACACCAAACAATAAAATACAAAATACAGTGCCACCTGTAGCATCTCTCAGTGGCATTTTTAAAATCATCTTTTCATTCAGCCAAATGCAGAAACAGCAGAGATACAATTAGAAACACTTGCCTGCCTCTCCAGCTGCACTGGTCCTCGGAGTAGTTTGAAAGAGCCACATCAAAAATGGCAAAAAGTAAAATCCAAACTGCGTTAATCCAAACCCCCAAAGCAGACATTTTCGTCAGTGGTGCAAAGTTTAAAAAAAAAAAAAAAAAAAAAAGTCAGAAAAAGATTATTCCAAACCTGCGATGTCCTAAATCTTTATAAAACAACTATTATTCTATCTCTGATAATCTCCATGATTTTGCATCCTCTTACCCTGACGTGTAAGATAAGAGAATACTACTAAACTCTCACAGCTCTGCCTTCAACTCCCGGGGCTGCTGTGCGTCAGGGAGCGCAGAGCTGTGAAGTTATTCCCCCTCAGAAAAACTTCACGGGCCAATCAGAGTGCTGCAAGAGAAACTTTAAACCACTCACACAGCGCGAGGGGGGGAGGGACGTCTGACCTGCAGAATGAGTAACAGTATGCAAAGATAAACCAAGATACAATTCACTATTGTGTTGGAGCTGTCTGCTTAGAAATGACTAATTAACGTAATTTAAAATGTGAGTTTAAAGGACCCCCCCAACCCCCTCAGACACATATTTAGATATATAAAAAAATACTCTGCCTGAATTGTAATTTGTATCTAATATATTCTTGTCCACCAAAAAATGAATTAACCTTTAATTAAATCTTATCATCTCCCTCATTTAAAATATTCAAATAGTGTAAATTTCAAATGTTTAACTGCTAAAACACTAGATGTCCATTGTCAGTGTATTTTCACTAGAGGCTTCAGCTTTCCACAATACACTTGTGTAAGTAGATGGTATTGGACGGGCATTGGTTTCCAAACTGGTTGTGATGTCACAAAGTACTCGCACATGCACGTCTTAAACGTAAATCTAAGGTGAGAAACATGACCCCCCCCCTTCAGCAAAAGAATGTGAAATCTGCTTTTTAGTGTCTAACTCTGCACATGTCTCATTTCTGTCAGGGCCAAATATTCAACTGAGCTAACAATGAGCAAAAGACTTTTTTTTTAGTGGAGGGGGACTTTAAATAAGCCAATTAAAATTATGTTTGCTTCTTTGTGTTGCTGGGTTTTATAGCAGGTATCTTTTTTTCTTCTTTTCTTTCATACCCACTTTCTGGTTGTTAGATTTAAACACAAAGGAAATCCTACTTCATAATTATAATTAACTGTGGTTCCTTTTTTTAACATCCCAAATCGTATAATAATAATAAATGATAAAGCTTTTCATGGATTTGGTCAGTAGGCTACTTTACACCGGCTTCATTCTGCAACATACTATTTTTAACAACACCAATCATTTCAAAAGCTTCTTATTAGCATATTAATGTTCATGAGACTTGAAGTTAATAAAGGATAAATCAAATCAAGTCAGAAAAAGGAGAGACATAAAGCCCTAGTCACAGTTCAATAATGCTAACCTGATTGTCAGACCCATCATATATGATGGTGATGACGCCTCCTCTGGTTGTCGTGCCCTCTGCCCTTTACCCCGCTGAGCTTCTCTTTCATGTTGTGGTATTTATAACCAAATCAAATATTCTTTTGTGCTAACATTGCCATGCATCTCCCTGAGCCAGTGACTTTCAGTGTACGTGTGTGTGTGTGTGTGTGTGTGTGTGTGTGTGTGTGTGTGATGAAAGTCTAGGCCCCTCCGATGGAGTTATGACAAGGCCTCAGACCAACACAATGGCACATGTGCAGAAATCCAGCTGCTTTATTGTCTGCAGCAGGACAGAGCTTTGTTTTCTGCAGGCCATTTCAAAGCAGCAGAGTTTAAAGTGCAGAGCGACGGGTGGAAGGGGGTGGCTGTGCGACCCAGTCAAAGAAAAATGAATACATTAGTGCCTAAACTTAGCTATGGGCTTCAGAAATATGTCACAGCTTCCACGTGTGCACAGTGAAGTCAGACACGGACAGTCAAATTTACACACTTTGTCAAAGCCATCAGTGAGTATGTATTCATACGCGTGTCCACTAAAACAATAGCACACACTCGGCGTGACCCTGGTATGACCCAAACTACAGTCTTCTGCAGCCTGGATCATGTTCAATGCTTTCATGTGGCTGTATAGATCTTACAGTTCAAACACAGTGAGACTAAACTTATTTGATGTGGTTATTCTCACTTTTTTACTGGGAGTTTTCATCCCTCAAAAAAGTGATGGAGTAGGGGATGGAGAGGTAGACAAAAAATGTATGTGAAAATTACATTTATTAAACATGAATTAAGTCATACACAGAGTAATGTCAGTGCATGTGACTGTGTCATTCCAAAGTGAATGCATTATTGTAACCAGAATAGTGCACTGAGTGAATTAAAAGAAGACATTTTTGCAAATGCACTTACTGGCTTTTAATCGTGGAGTTAGTTGAGAAGATCCACTCTTGTGTTTGTGCTGCAAATGTGAAGTAAAAAAAAATCATTGAAGTTAGATTCTGGCTTATCCATTTATAATTGTCGTTTTATTAGAAGTTTTGCCCTCTCCATGATTTATGTGTAATAAAAGCATTTTATCTGTTAATCAAAGATACAATGAATTTTTATGTGGAATGACTAGTTAGTGTCAGAGGAGCTTCAATCTGAATCACAAATTACACATCAGTGTGCAGACCTCCATTCAATCAGTCTTACTGTTAAAGGTCAGTGTGAGTGTTTGAATCATCAGACCTACTTGTTGCTCTTCTGCATCACCATCTTTGACTGTGATGAAACACGGTCTGTTTGTCCTCATACTTTAACCGCTGAACCAGATTCCCGCCATGTTGTGTCCTCCGCGTGTCCTCTGCGTTCTCACCGGCCCGCCAATGACAGCGTCTTCAAATGGTGCTGCTGTACGCATACGAGAGTTTGCACACATGTGTTAGTGCTGTGTCTATTTATTTGGTATACTGTATCCCTCTATGTGTGTGGGCGTGTGCAAACACAGAGAGGATGTAGTGGCAGTGTGGTGTTACTGGTGTTTATGGGACCTTAACGTTGTGTGTAACTTTCTCTCGCTGCCTCTTCTCGCTGTTTCAGAAACAAAGAGGCAGGTTGTGTCTTTCATACATGTTAACATAAGTATTTCACATGTTCTTGCAACATAAGTCCAACATGGCTGACATTTAAAGACTTCTAATTCTGCAGTGGAGTCGAAGAGTCACTGAACGTCACACTTTGCTAAAAAGGTCTTAACACAACCTTTAGATGTGCCGTATGAAATAAAAGGCTGACTGGGTTTAGAGGTTCTGTATTATTCAAACAAGTTCGGTGCAGCAGTTGCATGTCTACCTAAAATGCCCCAGCTGACACACCAGAGGACGACCTGACCGCAGTTGAGAAGTTAAGATGCCCTCGTTCCCAGACTTTTCAGCAGCTTCCCATGGCACCTCGGTGCTAATCCGGCTGATCTGACATCGCTGCTGTTTGTTTTCCTGCACAGTGTCATCTATCTGCTGGTAATGAGATCTAAGACCTTGACGGGATACTCTGATAATCAGCCCATGTTCAGGGTAGCAGAAAATATGCCCTTCCCGCCCCAGGATTGCGCTGTGTCTTATGTTTCTGCCGGGTCAGTCATGGGAAACACTGTTAAAGTGTCTGTGGAATCAGGATCACGCAGTCCAATTGCCTGTAGAATTATTTTAGGGCGAGACGAGAAAACCCTTGATATCCTGAATGCCAGGGTACATTTACTGAAAATCACATTCTTCAACGCACACTTGAAAAAAAAAAGTACAACATGTACTAAAGACATGTGGATTTTGTTTCCGTTATGGCTATTATTCCTTTACATTTTTTAATTAACAATATCTAGAATTACAGTGTAGCGGCAAGGTCCAGAGAGCGTCACAGGATGTAAAATGAATGTGCAACCAGTCTTTCATGCCTTTGTATTGTTGTGTATGTGTTTATAGGAAAAAGGCTATCTGAACTACTCCCTCACTCTGTTGTAGTTTTGTGTTGTGATGAGCCAGTGAGATCAGTGAGGTCGACACTTTCCCACCTCCCCATGCAGGTGAAGGGGCTCCTGGTCGAATGGCGGCGAGAGGCTGTGAGAAGAACCAACGCTCGGAGCTTGGAAAAACTCATGCTGATATTTACCCTGCGAGCCCCCATGAGAGCCTCATGTGAAAACTGACACCTGCTCTCTCATTGCACTTTCTCAGGATCCTGATTGTGTATGTGTTTGTTTGTATGACAGTAAATTTCTTCTTTGTGCCTCTCATCTCAGTTTGTGTAGTTTGTGTGTGTGATTGTGTGTGTGTGTGTGTGTGTGTGTGTGTGTGTGTGTGTGTGTGTGTGTGTGTGTGTGTTAGTGTAAAGCCCAGTGGGAAACTGAATACAAGAGGGCCCTACACCAGATAAACAGTCAGAGAGGGTTGATAGCAAACGCAGCTGGAAACGCGCAGAGACACCCTGAGAATGCTCTCTAATGCTTTTCTAAACATGTAATAGATCACTTAGCTGCACTGTCACAATGCTCTCATACGGCCCTCACATGCTTTAATCTTCTCCATCGGGATCGCACATAAATTTTGCATGAAGATGTTTCCTATGAGTTGTTATACTGAGATGAATAATCTCATGATCAAGTCGGAATGACACAAATCACAGGAGATTTATTTGTGGCCGCTGGGGTCAAGTCTCAGTTTACACATGTTTTGCAGTAATCTCGCATACTTTTTCTGCCTCTCTCTCTTACAGCTCACAGTCTCACTCGCATGCACACACGGTCTTGTTTTAGTTTATCATAGTTGTTTTATCTCATACATCACTGTCATCTGTGTTTGTGGCTCTTCAAAGTACTTTCTGACAATTTCATTTATTTTAAGTGCTTTGAAGATGTTCATTTAAATCTTCTTTATGGCTTTATGGAATTCCACTTTTCTTTGCATTCAGCAGCTCCAAATATAACCTAATTATAGTATCTGGGGTCAGAGGTCACAGCTGGGTCCCTTAGGGACTGTTCATTAGCAAAATGGAGGGAAGAGGCTGCAGGTGCCTAAAATGGACCTCTCTATCTATTGTGCCTTCATGACTGAAGTTTTAAACTCCATCTTTTTTTTCAGCCCTTTTCCTTTATAATACGTATACATGTTAGCCCTCTATGTTAGATAGAC